ATTTCTTCTTCGAATTCAAGATTTTGATCAACCATAATAAATTTATCCGTTAAACCTAAATCCGCTAAATCAAGGTCTACTAAAAATTAATGAATTTTATTATTTTTTTTTTGTGTATCAATATTAATATATGTATTTGTATATAATATCAAAAAAATAAAAATTTGCCGATCTTTTTATATAATGAATCACACTATATAGTGAAGTTTTTTGCCAAAACAAACTCTTCCTTATATCGAGCGCCAACTGTACTCGGATCCAAAACCATTGTGAGCATTTATTCTTTTTATTATGTCATTTACTAATATTTGTATCTTCTTCATGTAATTCTCCTCCACTCCTTTTATTAATCCATTGCTGGATTGTTACTACCGTTTTCTTTCTTGGATTGGTTTTACGTTGATGTAAATCTTTGCAGCGGAGGCAGCAATTCCCCCCTTTCCTTCTCCACATAACTTACGAATTTCAATGACTGTTTCACTAGACAAAAGGTCTAGACCTAGCTAGCTAACCTTTTTATCAAATCATTGCTTGAAATCCTTTCACATATTTTCAATTTCTTCTGAATTTTTTAATTGCTAGTTGATTGGTTTGATTGGTTTTGATCTTGATTAAAAATAATGATAATCATTTAAATGAAATCAAAAAGATAAAAGAGAGTCTCACCAATTATTACGATTGTTTCTTTACGTTAAATATACCCGATTAAATACCAATAATAGCCATTATTCATTTAAATATACAGTATCTAACTTCTTTATAAATTTTTGATTTTTTATTCAATAATAAATAAATAAATAAATAAATAATAAATCCAATTTTTTATCAATTATTTGTGGCAATAATTATTTCTATTCTATTCTAATTTAATTTAAATTCTAATATTAATCTAAACATTTAATTATTTTCTCCAATCCCCTCTTTAGATTATCGTTCATTGGTTTTTTATCATTTATAAAGTTTTCATTATTTAAATTATTTAATATAGAATTGATTGTCGTAGGTATATGTTTTCTTAAATAATTTTTTGCTAAATATATAAAAAAATAAATTGTAGGAATTAGATAACTTTTTTAAAAAAATAATAATAATAATAATAATGTGTACAAACCATCACCACAAGAATTTTTAGAAGCTTTTTCTAATAATATGCAAACATTAATTTTAATTTCTTCTGGATATTTATTTTCATTATTTTGAAGTATATTAAGTAAAGAACTTAATAATGGCGTTAATTCTGATGAATTATCATCAGCAGATGATGACGGCAACACATCAGAAGACGATGTTAGTATAGTGCCATTTGTATTTACCACTTCAGAAGAACATGTAGAAGAAGAAGAGGTTGATGTAAAGAAATCTAATGTAGGGCTTTTTCCTAATAAAACAAAAAAAAAAAAAAAACATTAAATATAATTAATAAAAAAATAATATTAACAATAGTATTTATATTTTTATTACTAGTATGTCCAGAATCATCCATTGTTAGTAAAGTCAATGCAATTATTCCTTCATTTTGTAATATAGGATAAGTTGGTTCCAATGACATGTTTACTAAATGATTTATAACTTTTGAATTATTTAATTTTGACCTTAATTCCAAAATTGAAACTCCATCTAATAAAAGTCATTATATTAATTATTATTATTATATATTATAAATTATGTATTAGATGTCGTAAATAACAATTACCAATTTCAGATTTTGAATTCTCGCTCCATAAATTTTTTACAAGATTCACCAAAATTCTTGTACCCTCATTTTTTATTGTTATATCATCAGTTCGTTGAATTAATGCTAAAACATGAGAAAGCGGCGTTGGTTCTTCTGAATTATCATTATTGATATTATTGCTGCCCATAATTATTTTTTTGGAATTTATCACTAAATAGTGAACAATAACAAATACATTATTAATATAAAATATATATCATTATTATAATTGAATAAAACCAACCGTTTTTATTAGATAAATGTTTAAATATTCCAATTATGGCTATTTGAAGAGGCACAACATCGTTTTTTAATAATGTCGCCGTGAATTCAATTACACCAAGTGATCCAATAATGTCCTTATTAACAGCTATAAAAATATAAAAGAATAATATTTAATCGAATAATTATTTTAACTTGAATGAAACTACAATAACGATTATAAAAATTATAATTATTATTATAAATTATAATTTTAATATCATTAATCACCTGGTAGTGATAAATTTTTAATTGTGCTAACTATAGAATGTTGTAGTTTGACACTGTCAGCAGTTTTAAGAATTTCCAATAACGGTTTCATAATTTCATAATCTTTTACCAACTTTTCACAATTTTTATCTATTTAGACAACGTATTAATAAATACGTTTGAGAGCAAATCAAAAATCTTCCACTTAAAATAAACAAAAACACAACAATCATTTACCATTCCTAGCCAAATTTCCTATACATAAAGCTGCACACATCTGAAGATCATTATTTTTAGGTTTTAGATTTAACCATGTTAAAAATTTATTAAATATAGTTGAATCTTGAAATAATAAATCCATATTTTCATCTAATAAAAACATACAATTATTAATAAATTAATATTTTTTTGATTTTTTTCTTAAAAAAATAGTGTCTTACCACATGTTGTAATTTTAACTATCAATTTCAATATAACAGCTTTACAATCATTATGAGATTTTGATTGGCTTAGAAAATTTAATAAATTTTCAAATAAACGATCATTTACAATCATATAATGTATCGATCCTAAAAATTATATATATGTGTGTGTGTGTAAATATATAAACCTATACAAAGATACAATTAATTATTACAATAATAGTATACCATTTTCCATAGCGACTAGCTCTAAAATATCAATGACATTTTCCAATATCTGATTAATTTCAGATGGAGTATCTTTTGTGGCAGTCCAATCGATAAATTTAATTAAAGATTTTACTAAAGATGATATCATTTTTTGGATTTTTTCACTCTCTGAATCTTTTTTATCAGGTAAAGCTATGTTTAAATATAAATTTTATTAATAAAAAATAATTCCAACGAAAGAAATCAATTCAACCCCTCCCCCCTCCAATTTACCAAGTAAACCAGAATCCACTAGATTCACTATAACTCTTGTAGCATAATTTACAACAGTAATATCAGTAGTGTGTTTAGATCCAGTTTGATCTCCATTCTGTTGAATTATTTTAGGTTCAACTAAATCTGCAAGTAATGTCAACCCACCTTCCTTTAATATCTTTTCGTTGATATCATCTTGAAATAATATCATATTTTCTTTAGAAACTATATTCACAATCAATCGAATCAAATGAAATGAATGAATGAAACTTTTACCATTGTTAGCACCCGAATTTAATAATAATGCCAAAGCAGTTCTTATCACATTCGATTCATTACACGAACCATCGTATTGTCTTATGTGACGTATTGCTAAATCAATGCTTCCACTTTCCAAGTTTTTCCTACGATTTTCGTCTAAAATCACAGAATATTAAAATCAACAATTTCTCATTCATAAATTATATTTCAAATGTTTTATTTACCATTAGAAACGCACAGATTTGCTAAAATTCGAAACCCATCATAGAATAATTGATCTGGTGCTATGTTATCATAAATATTCATAATGTCGACAATCAATTCTATGAAACCAGATTTGCCAATCGGATCTCGTGATGATTCTATACAAACAATCAATCAATCGACATTAATTATATATTGTATATGTGTGAGCGAATGAGTGAGCGAAGTAAAAACTTGCCAATTTTAGTAGAGTTTGCTATTATTTCTACAATTGTAGATATTGTTTTCCATTCATTAGAATCAACCTTTGTAAAAATTTCTTTATTTTCCTTACAATTTTCTAATTCTACTTTTAATATCGGTAGATTGACAATTATCTCATTACCAAGATCTATATCATCAAAAAACGCAATTGTTAATACGTTGAAATAACTGAAAAGTGGTAAATGAAATATGATACAATGTAGTGATGATTGTGATGATACCATTTGAATCTTTTAATTGTTGTAATAATTTTTCAAGTGTAGAATTTTGTTCTTTTTTATTATAATAATTGAGAAATTAATGTAATTATTTAATATTAAATTTGACCTTTATAAACAATTTGTTTAATGATTAATAAAATACCATTGTTATCAATTTGATTATTAACATTTGTTTCCATTTTAACAATGCAATTTATACTTGTGTGTGGAGGAAAATTTTTTTTTGTAAAGTAATAAGTTACGCAAAAATACCAATAATTAAATCACATGATTTATAATAAATATTGTGAATGTAATTATAATTACCACGTACACACTTGTAATGATTTGGTTTATTTTCTTCAACTAGGTATTTGTCCATGTTCAGGCAAGGCTGAAGATGCACAATCTACCAAAAAAACATGGTGTGAGATAATCAATGGATACTGAAAGGTTTTGAAAGCTCACATAATGAGCCCTATCATCAAATGGTGGATGACCTGCAAAGATTTCCCACATTAACATCCCAACACTATAAACATCAGTTTCTTTTGTATATTTTGTATTACTTTTGCCACCAAGTAGCTCAGGTGCAATGTAAGATATAATTCCATAAATTTTATTTGTTGATTCAACTGGTCCACATAATCCTAAATCTGTGATATAATAACCACCTCCTTTCAATAATATATTACCACTATGTAAATCACAATGAATTAAATCTTTTTCATGTATACGATATAATGCATTACATAAATATCTAAAAATATCAATTTTATCTTTTAATCTTAAATTATAATGATTTATTTTTATATAATCTCTTAAATTTCCCTCTGGTGCATAAGTAAGAACTATTGCATAATTTCCATTTTCTGGGGATTTAGTTATACCAAAACAAGAAACAATTAAATTTGATTTAATTTTACAATAATTCAATGCCTGAAATTAATTACATAAATAAAATCAATTAATTTAAATAAATGGTTTGATTTAGTTAATTTAAATAAGAACAATTACCTCATCAAAAAAAGGTTTTCCTGGATTACTTGAATTATTTAATGATTTTAATACTACTCGCTGAGTTCCAAGATAACTAAACTCCTTTTTATTTTCATCATAATCATCAATATATCCTCTTGTCCACCCAGCAGTATAAATAGAACTGAACCCACCCTCTGTTAACTTTTCTACTTCATAAAATTGCTCATAAGGTATCCATTCTATAATTTGAGTTGGAAGAGATGAAAGCTGTTGACATTTTTGAATAAAACCATCAATTATCTCATTCCTAGATGTCCAAGTGCTGAAAAGGTCCTGTAAGTGTAGACTAATACACTTTTCACAATATTTATCAGAGTATCTTGTTGTCCCACAATTATTGCATTCTCTTGGTTCACCCCATTTATAAATTGCTTTATTTAATTCAAACCAATAAATAAATCTTTCTCTGCAATATTTCTTTTCATTTTCTAATAGTACTTTATTTTCATTGACTAACTGTAAAAAATAACTTTTTCTATTTTCAAGGTCAGAAACAGTTGAAAAAGCAGAATATGCAATACTACTCATTTCATTATAAATTTTATATACTAGTTCTCTTCTGTCTTGTGTTAATAATTTAGCAAAGGACATCTTAACTTTTTAATGTTTATTTTTTTAAAAAAAAATTGTAAGAATTTAATTGACGATCTGTCTATAGTAATAGTGTAAGACACCCAGTCCAATCAAAAATGCAAGAAAAATTGGTATATCACGTGACTTTCAAAAGTCGCCTGATCACGGGACCGTATGCGATCATTGCATAATAGTTACTAGCACTAGGGCTTTTATTCGTAATACAAATTCTTGTTCGAATTATTCGAATTACATTGAAAATTTATTCGAATAAATTTTAATTCGATAAAACGAATAATTCGAACAAGAATTTGTATTACGAATAGAAGCCCTAATACTAATACTAATAATAATCAGCAATAATTGTCACGGTCTAATTAAATCAATAATAATGTCACATAAGTTAGTTTTTTTTTAATAATTGACAAGGCAAAATTCTGGTCTGTGAAAAGAATAAATATTACACAGTGAGTTTCAGTTTAGTGGACCTTGATTTAGCGGATTTAGGTTTAACGGATAAATTTATTATGGTTGATCAAAATCTTGAATTCGAAGAAGAAATGACGGAACAAGCATTGTGTTGGGACAACCTGAAGTTGAAGACAATGATGTGTTGAGAAGATAAATGAACCGATTGTAACAAGTACAGAAGCCATAAATGGTTGGGAATTGCATTTAAAAAATTTAGAAGTTGATTTCTCAAATGATTAAAATGTATTGAAGTTAAAAAGAGAAATTTCTTATAGAAGTGCCCAAGAAGCAAAATAATGTCGAATTGATGAATTTATGAGTCAACAGTGATATATATTAATATTATCGTTATATTTTTTTTTATATTAACTGTATCACGTGATTTGATCATAAGTTTCGCTTTTTGCGGATCTCTCAGTTTAGCAAATTCCTGGAACAAACATGCCCGTTAACCGAGACTCACTGTGTATTATTTAAAAAATTATTTTTAGCTTTGATTGATCATTTTTTGGTGTGTAAAAAATTTTTTTTATTGAAAATTTAAGGGTAGGGTAAATCACGTGTCAATTTATATGTAGATCCGGCTCAAAAATCCAAATTTATGCACGTTACATAGATAAGTTACGCGAAACGCGTCTAAACGCCTTCGAAATTTTGGGGACACGTGAAAAGGACGGGGGACGGGCAGGTGTGGCTTGAACCCGTCCCCCGTCCTTTTCACGTTTGGCCTTTTAATACTAGAAAAGGACGGGCAATGGTATGGGTGTTTTTCAAAATAATTAAAAAAGGACGGGCAATTATGAGGGACGGGCGTGGCGCGGGTCAAGGCACAGCAACCCGTCCCCCGTCCTTTTCTATTATTCATTGGGGAAATCTTGAAAAGGACGGGTGAAAAAGGGACGGGTTACTGTGCCATTACTGCCCGTCCCTAATGTTTTCTTAAAAAGGACGGCATTAATAATACCTACAATATTGTATAATAAATAAGAAAATAAATCATTTCAAATTGTGCAAGGCATAATTGGAAAATATTAATTATTATGTACTAATATTAATATTAGTAATAAAAAATAAATTGATATGTGCCAAAAAATATAATAAATCTATTACCAAATAAATGTGGCATTGGCATTCATTATTTGACAATCTTGATTAGTACCAAATAACAATGCATTTATTATTAAAAAAACGTGGCATTCATTTTGATTAGTATTAAATTTAAAGTTTTGTATTAAAAAGGTTATTTATAGTGGTGGCAACAATCAACATCTGAATCTAGATTTTCATGTTTTTTGACCTAAACAAAATTGCCAATTCAAATTTGTTCTATAATATATTAAAATGAACTAGCCATAAATTCAGTAATAAATCCATTATTAATAAATAAATGTGGCATTGGCATTCGTTATTTGACAATCTTGATTAGTACCAAATAACAATGCATTTATTATTAAATAAATGTGGCATACATTATTTATGATCTTGCATTCATTAATTAAAAAAACATGGCATTCATTTTTGATTAGTATTAAAATTAACATTTAAAGATTTGTATTAAAAAGGTTATTCCCCTTCTATTTATAGTGGTGGCAACAATCAATATCTGAATCTATATTTTCAATGATTTTATTTTATACAATTTTGTCTCAAACCAAAAGATTATAAATAAAAATAAAAATCAAGATTTTAAATAAGGAATAAATGGATATGGGATATTATATTTATGACAAACAGCTTTCACCTGTGTTTGCCCATTAATAATAAAAAAAAACAGCAGGACAAAGTGGTAATGGCATAGTAACCCATCCTTTGTTTGCCTGTCCTTTTCAAGATTTGCCCATAAATAATATAAAAGGACATGGGATGGGCAGTAATGACGCAGCAACCTGACCCTTTTTCACCCGTCCTTTTCAAGATTTCCCCAATGAATAATAGAAAAGGACGGGGGATGGGTTGCTGTGCCTTGACCCACGCCATGCCCGTCCCTCATAATTGCCTGTCCTTTTTTAATTATTTTCTTTTAATTTTATTTTCTTTACTTTTATCTAGATTAGGCAAATGCCTAAATAGTGGAAATCCTAGCTAGGTGAGGTCAGTTAAGAGGCTGAACCATAAATATAATAATCAGTGTAGAAAGTATCACGGCAGATACTTGAGATATTATAAATATCATTGAGACGTGCTGGCTCAGGCAGATAACAAAGAACTGCTGAGAAAACGTTGCCAGAAGGGAAGTAAGGAAGCTTGCCCTGTAAATAATTAAATAGCTTGAGCACTATAGTGAAAGAAAATAATCAAAGAATTAAATAATTGGATACTGCCAGAAAACAGAATAAATATTAGTATAAATAAAAAACAAGAGATTTGTGTGAGATGCGGATTTTGATCACACAATATGCATGTTTACATTATGCAAATATTTCATAAGTCCTGATATGGGACTGAGCTACCTTTATGTAAATGAACAGATTATGCAAATATACTGTATGCAAATAAACAAGTGCAACTGTATAATAATTGAGTCAGATGCAATTAAAAATTGAGATTTTAAGAAATTGAGTCAAAGCCAAATTAATTTTGATAAAACAGACCTTTAATTCTCAGGTTAAACTTAATCAAAGGAATTTAAATGATTCAATCACTTTAGAAATAACTTGAAAATAATAGAAGGTTCAGGTAATACATTTAATTAGGATAAATTAGGATTTCAAAGAAATTGGAGAACTAGATGATAGAACCTTTAACATATATAAATAACATTGTAACTTTCTCAACTTCATGTATCATCTTCATTAAGGTTTCTGGTCGAAACTGCTTCTATTAGTAGCCGAAATTGCCCAAATACTTTGGGCAAAAATTATTTTTTTATAAGCCCAAACTACTTTTTGTTATTAGCCGAAATTGGGCAAAATTATTTTAAAGTTGTTTAAGTTAAAACAAGTTGATTCATATAGTTTTTTAATGTTCATGCTTATAGAAAATGTTGAGAAGCCCAAATTGCCCAAACTAGTTTGGGCTTTGAGAAAACAGTTTGGACCAGAAACCTTAATCTTCATCATCATAAATCATCATCATAATAATTTAATAAATAACACTGTCATCAACCTTGTCCTTG